CGCGCTTACTACTACTACTACTACTATTACTACTACTACTACTACTACTACTACTGCTGCTGCTGCTGCTACTACTACTTCTGCTACTACTACTACTACTACTACTTCTACTACGACTACTACTGATAGCAATAGTTTATAACAGTAGTAATAACAGTAGCAAGAAAAAGAACAATGATCATAAAGGAGTAACATGAATAATAGTAATAATGGTGGGCTATGCTCTGGACGCAGGCTCATTACAAGGCCGGTGCTGCAGCCGATGAGGAGGAGTCGGAGTACGAAACGGATGAAGAAGGCCGATGATTGAGAACTTGTTCTCGAGAACCTTGCTCCATGTCGATGCTCTTGGAGGATGAGACATCCGCAGTGGTTGAGCCAGGCAGTGAACTTAGATTCTGGGTAAGATTCAGAGTGAGCCGTCCCTTTTTTTTGGCAAAGGTGGGGCTGCAATGAGAGCACAGCTGTGCGATGCCGCTCAGAGCCTGGCCCAAGAGAACGAAGAACTTCGCAGTCGAAAACTTCTGCTGTTCTAACAGCGGAGCGGCCTCGCATTCTGCACTCCTGCCGGATGGCCAGCCTAAAACTGCACCAGAAAAGTTTTAGAGTTTAGGGTTAGCACCAAAAGTTCTGGACAATACCTGCCTGAAGTCCCACCCAAACTTCCCCCTGGCTTGCTGAATCGTTTTGGGCCTGACCCCGGCATCTGGCGGTTCTGCGCAATTCTGCGCAACTGCACGAACATGACTTGATGATGGCTTTTCCATACGTATCACAGGCTCTGATCAAACCTAACATCAGACTAGGGCGCTGGGATGGTGTGCACTTCTCCCTTCGCGGCTGTTGTTCACTGAGTTTAATGCTGTCCTCTTATGTCCCACAGAGGTGTGGGAACTTGAGGAACCGTAATTTTGCAAGCTCTTTCAACCACTCGATTGAACGCACGCCTGTGCAATTGACAGGGGCTTTTGACATTTGATGCGACAGTAGAACCAGTGCTGTGCTTCAAGCCTCAAGCTCCTGTCAGCACTGGCAGAGACATAGACATAGCGCGCGCAGCGGCCAACTGTGGGAAAACAAGAACACAAGCGCAAAGGGCTCGTGGCTCTCGCATTTATCGGGGGGGGGGGGGGGGCTTCCGCACGAGCGATGCGCGTAGCTTTCTGGGTTCAAGCTTAGCTGCCTGGGGAATGCGTCAATGGCATCGCAGGCGACCACAGTCTGATGCGACTGTGCTCCCGACTTGTAGGCAGTGCAAGGTAAAGACCAAGGTTTTTGCATGCCTAGATTGCCGGAACATTCGCTTTGGGTATGCCACGCCGTGACCAGGCTCGCTTGAGGAAGGGCAAAGGTCCGAAGAGCCCACCGGAAATTGATGTAGACCTGCCGGCGGAGACCTCAGAAAGCTGGCTGGCCGGCCTCTGGTCTAAGTTGCGTTCGGAGATTTGATCCCAGGAATCAGCTGCAGTGGCAAGAATAGCAGCAGGGCTGCCCACTCCCAGGCGCTAACTTTGTGCTGCCGTTGGAACAGCTACGTAGCAGCTGGACAGGTCGACATTGGGATCGCCGCTGATATCTCACGCTACGTACAAGAGGCCTCCCCTCGCCTTCTGCATCCACTTGAGCCGAGCCCAGCCTTCCCAGCAAAAGCCAGCAAGCAAAGAAGAGAGGACGAGAAGACGACGGAGTGTAGGGGGTCAAGCCCCTACACCCTAACCCTGACGCAAGAAAGACGACGGAGCACAGGCGACTGGCGAGCCGCAGGCCGCCCCGAACAGTGAACGCGACGACACACAAATAGCAATTGCTCCCAGGAAAGATGGCCGCAGCTGCCGGGGTGGTCACGTGGAGCTTTCTCGTAAGTCAAGGCTGCAAAAGGGACACCCAGACGCCGTTGAACTTGCACAATCGTGCAAACGAGGTCTGCCAAGCTTGAAGCTTATTATTTTGTAGGGGTCTCTGGGGGCTGCCCAGTGTTTTGCAATGATAGCGACAGAAAGGGAAACCGGCGCGACACCATCGCTTCGGCTTCTGATCGAACAGTTGCACCGGCATAGCTCCGAACGTGATGGCATCACAGGTCGGGCGTGGGGGATCTTGCGGCTGGTCCACGAAGGCACATTTCTTTGTCCCAGGCGCGGGCTTCTTTCGAAAGCTTCTTGGAGGCGAATTCCGGTAAGTTCTGGCCTTGCCAGGTGGAACTGGGCTCATGGCTCTGCTGCATGGCTCCCGTGTTCATCTTGTTCTCCACATATGGGTCAGTTGGACACTTAACATTCAGCATTGATGCGGAAAGTTGTTGTCCCGACAGCTCAACCCTGCAATGCTGCTTTCGAGGTTCTGCTGTCCACTCTGTTCTGGACATACCTTGCAGAGCTGATTTGCGCATGCTTGACCCTTACCACCTCGCTCTGGATTGGCAATCTTTCCATTGCCACCTTGCGGGGAATTCACCAATTGAGAGAGGCCCCCTCGCCGCATGTCAGAGCCACAGTGAGAGCGGCGGAGAGTGGGTGCGGGAGGCCAGCAGCATCGACTGGCATGAACGTTTGCGTCAGATCCCGGAGGAGGACTGCCGTTTCGCTGGTTCCCTCAGGATTTCCACAAGCATCTGGGAAGGCTCTCAGGCCGTTGCGAGTTGCGTGTTTGCACGCAGGAAAGGAGCGGCGTAAAGCACATCATTCTGCTGCCAAACTATATGGAAAGTGAAAAGATGTTGAAGGAGCCGGGTAGCATGGCACACGCTGAGATATGTAAATGATGCAACTGCACCAGCCGAGGAGACACTCGACTACCTTGCCCGCTCAAAGTTAGCGAAGAACTGTTTGCATGTTGTTTTGGGCATGGAGGCCGCTGGACACATGACACCATTTTTCTGCATGGTCCGACAGCTAAAACCCTAGACGCCGAGCCCTAAAGAGTGTTGTCACCTTGTTCAAGAACGAAAATAGGGGACCCTAATATAGCACCCCAAATAATAGGATCCTTATTATAAGGACGCCAAAATAAGGTACCCCCTGATTTTCAAAAAAATCCCATATTCTGACAGGGCCGCGAAGGTCAGCCAGCCCGTGCCAAAGCGGAGAGGATCATCGCTGAGAAGGAGGGAAGCTCAGAAGCTCCGGACCACTTTTAAAGCGCATCGGAGTCTGTACAAGAGCCTGCTCCTTTACATGTGCCAGAAGCACCTTTTCGCTGACATCTTTGCCACCTACCACCCGCAGGCTCCGAAATTGCGCAATCGAAGGACTTTGGGGAGCGGTAGGGACCTAGATCTGCCCTGCTGCCTCCTTGGAACAAGCTGCAAAGTAATACCCTTTTGGAGGGGAGTCGAGACCCCACCTTCCTTTTTGTAGCTATGCTTCCGGGTATCCTTGCCATGGGTTCTTGCAGCTTCAACAAAGTTTCGCGGTAGTGGGGCGTGGTAGTTGCAAAGTATTGCAAGTATGACCAATTTGAATTTGTTCGGGATGATGAGGTCGCCGTCGCCCCCGTCTAGCAGGATGAACACTTTCATGTGACGACCATAGCACCGTCATGCACCGCCGTCCCGTTGCGCTCTCAAACTCTGCCAAACATGTCTCGGTCAAGCTTCGCGAGTGAAGAGTCATCAGCATGAGTTTCAGATTCCAAATGCTACGCAGACACGCTTGGCGCAGAAGTAGAGTGCATTGACGCGCCGGGCAGGGTCTTCCCGGAGAAGTTGCTGGCAAGTCTTCCAACACGCAATGGGCTTTCCGTGAGGCCACCGTGGGTGGATGGGGCCTTTTCATGTCACCACTTGGTGTACGCCTCGATGGCATAGGCACTGCGAAGATACGGGGCATCGCTGTCCAAGCGAGACCTGCAGAAAGCCAAGCTGTTTGCACGCCTTGTTTGATGACGGCACGAAGTTTCCAAGCCCTGCGCAGTCTTAGGTCGAAAGTCTTCCTCACTGTGGCTGATGCAGACACGCTGTGCCTGGCTTAATGAAACACAGAGCTTAGAAGAAAGAGTCCGAGGATGCTCGCGCGCTGAGGCTCCATCCGAACTACCTCAGCGCCATGACATACCAAGGTCGGCTTGTGATCAGCCCTGGCCTGAGTCGGAGTTAGATGTCGCTGAGGACTCATGATGGACAAGGAGGAAAGATCCTGGACCATCTGGCAGCCCCCTGTCATGCTGGTCAAGCCGGCTCGTTTGCTGAGCATAGCAGTCTCCAGACACCAGCATTGCAATCTTTCCAGCTGCGCAATCTGTTCAACGTGCCGGCCGTGACTCGGGCAACAGCCCACGGAACGTCACTGAGCAAGCAATTTACTGTAACAGCTTGATCAGAAACCATGGTCCCCAACAATACCTCCCCAAAAATGAGTCTGATCCATGTCATTAAGAATCTAGTAAACACCGGGGTTTCTTCATCAGGTCCCCTTTGCTATGGTGCTGAGGAACTGTGCAAAGTGTGACAGACATTTGTCTCCTGCTTGTCGTCTCCGCAACTCAGGCTCGTCTTTGAGTTGTCGGCTTTGGCATGGCAGCGCATCTTTCCGGCCTTTGCCTATTCCTCGCCGAACTGCCATGCTTATATGCAATGAGTCGAAGTCGAAGAGTGCGACGTTTCTGACATGCACTTGGACTTAGGCGTGCCCCTGTCAGGTATTCGATGACACTTGCATTGGCCTCCCATCCTGAAGTGGATGGCTGGGATGTGGATGTCATTGCAGAGGACCGACGTTCGTGCAAAGGTCATGGTTTTCTCCGCTAGGCAGCAAGGGGTGAGAAGTGAATGTGGATCCAGGATCACCACATGTTCTGCAAGTGCTTCTTTGCAGCTCTTTGGGAGCTGTCGCACGCCAAGAAGGACGAAGCAGCGCTTGAATCATTGGTCCTCTCTTCCCAGCCCTCGCGGCCGACTCATGGCCGCCACCACATGCCTGGCCCGCAGGAGCATGCAAAAATTTCGAACGGCAACGATGCAAACGCAGTTCAGATCGTCCCTCAAGTCAAGGCTTTTTCTCTCCAAGGGATGCAAAGCGATGGGGAAGCTTCTGCCTGGCAGGTTCAACCCGTGTTTTTGCCAGTCCGTGGCACAGAATGAGACAGCCGAAACCTGCGAATTTCACGCCGGTTGCACCGAGGCTGTTTCATATTTGGCCGAATCGCCAGATGGTTACATGGCGTCTCTCAAAGCCCGCTTCCAACAGGCTTGTCGGTCAGACATCTACTGGGTACTGTACCACCTGCGTGACGGCTCGAAGTTTCAGTGTTGCTTTGGCTGCAGGCCAGGCGTCACATGCAAGGACTGGTTGAAATCGGCTATGTGTCTTGGCTTCATGACACAGTCTTATCACCTGCTCACAGAGTCCTTGTGTTGTGTTGTAGGCTGTTGTACTGCAGCGGTATGCCATCATAAGATTCGAGCTGATATGATGCACAGTGAGACTTTAAGTGTGGGGGCTGGCTGAGGTCTGCTTGCAATGGGCACGCCTGTCCATGAGTGCTGGTGCCAAGAACATTCCATTGCGCACGTCTGAGCCCCAGTCATGACGTGAATCTCAACAAACTCAAGCATGAGTTTCATGGCACGGAGAGCTCACACTTGAGGCACCTTTCCATCTTTCTGATCTTCTTGAAGATGAACATTTTGACCATCACTTGCACATCGCAATGTTTTGCATTGATCTTGATGGCTCTCGTGAAGATCGTTCCGAGGCCTGTGACTTGATTATTGCTTGCTCTAATGTCATATGTTGCTACGTACAATTTGTTGTATTGTGCGATGCTTCTGGCACGGGAATGATATTGTATGATGTGGTTTGACATTAGTGTCATGGCATTTGTTTGATCATACCTTGTTCTATTCTAGTCACTGTTCTATTCTATTCCAGTATGTTCTGTGCTGTCATGCTATTTTCTGCTCTATTGTGGTGCATTACATTAAATGTTAGCTTCATAATGTTGGATATTCATTACATAACGATACACTAGACCCTATCACATCATACAATATCGCACCATGTCATACTAGTTTTAATGTTGTGTTATGTGCAGTTATGTTAGCTGTATCAGAAGACATCACATTGTATCCTGTCATGTGTCACTGCATCGCTTTGCACATTATTATTTTGTATGTCTGATGACCTGTCATCAAGTCATGTCTAAGTCTTGCTTTACGTTGTCTTATCTTAGCTCAGTCTGGATTATGCTTTGGTTTATGTCGTATGTTTTAAACTGCAGTATTAGAACCTGTTGCATTGTACCATCCTTTTTTGCATTACAATATTTACTTGATATTGTATTATACAATATTGTAGTATGTGAGTCTACACGATACGGGGTGATCAAATCTGGCGTCATGCGGCCTTAGTTGATCTGCAAGAAGAACTGTTGTAACATGTCATGTTTTAGAAGTTTATACGACTTGATATGCCACTGTTTGGTATTATATGGTTGCCGTTCTGCGATACAGCATGGTGTTGTATGTCAAGATATGTTACGAGATGATGTGTTAAGTTGTGATATGTTATGATATGATAATGTACTATATTCTATGATGTGATACGGCATGATGTGGTATGGTATGATATGATTTGGTATGATGTGATCTGGGGTATGCTAAGATATGTTTTGGTATCGTACAGGGTATTATCTGACATAGTACTGTATTGCATGATGTAGTATCGTGTTTGTACTTTATCACCTTCTAGAGTATCTCAGAGTTCATCAGAAGGGCATCACCAGGAAGGATGGTTCTAGTTCGTAGGTATGCAGTTCACATCCTGGAGGATGGGGAGTCTCGTGGCCTACCTTGTGCAAGTTGAGCTGGGCCAGCTACAACAGGAGCCTGCCAGGGTTTCAGATGTAGAGGTGCCTCTACTATCTACGGTCACGTCTGCAATCAGATGGTTGTGTGCGATCAGATGGCCGACAGCAGTTCTTGCATCTGCCGGATTGTCCTTCCCGTGGTGTACAGGTAGTGACTTCGAAGTAGCACCTTCTGCTTGCCAATGCCTCTTCAGTTTGGGGTGATGACAATGAAGCCATCTCGGTACGCAAATTGCCCGACAGGACGTTGGCACATACGCGGCGTCCATGAACAGTGCCGAAAAGGCTCCTTGCGGCGGGCTTCATTGACACGATGCTAGCGCATGTTCACACAGTCTCTGCAGTTTCCGCCGTGAAAGCCCTGACATACCCGCAGAATTCTTAACACCCGCCAACGCTGAAGGGAGCGAACCGACTCGCAGGCTCTTGCGGCAGGGATCAGTCAGATCTCCGGTGTGATGCTTAGTGCTCTTTTTCATACATACCTTATTTGTCTCTCTCTCTCTCTCTGCACATATATCTACATATATATATATATATTTATATGTGTTTATTTATTGATACACACACACACATGTTTGCATATACTTCCCAGAAGGGAAGCACGGTACCCTGTATAAGAGCCTAAGGCGTCATGGTGCTCTACACCGCTGTCACCGCAGCAGCCAGATTCTCAGCATTCAGGGTTTGCATACGGCTGAGGGTTGAGGGGTTCGGAATTTTCAGCAGCTCTTTTCTCGGATTTTGGAATTTTTTGCTCTTACAAGACTGCTGTATTTCAGTGCTGAGGTCATCTCCGACATGGTGGAGGGACGGTACTACAAGAATCTGCAGCCATGCGAGCGACTGACTTCTGCTGCAGGAAACAGCCGTGTGTCATCGGTGGGTACCCGAGGTCCCACTCAGACCTCGACGGAAACTGCTACGGAAGGTGAGGCCGAACAGGAATCGCAGCAGCTTCACCCCAAGTTGCAAGGGTGAAGTCATTGGAGCGGCTGAAAACTCTCTTGTATGTGGTGAGTTTTGGGCTTCTGAGGCCTGCGCCTTGTTCCGAGTCTCGCTTGGAGATGCCTGGGCTGAAAGAAGGCAGGTCTTCGCCGTTGAGGGCACAGCAAGTGCAAATTTGGCAATTTGCCACCAGCAGCAGTATTGAGAGGTCCGCGTTCCTGGCTCTGTCGACTTGCACTTTTTGCTTACATCTTTACGGACAACACCATGTTTGGCCGTGTGCTAAGTCTGAGCCAAGGCATTCGCAGATTTCGATGTCTTTATCTCGCGACTCTGCTTCTTCCCTCAGGTTATCCGGCGATACTTGTCTTTGCTGTTATCCCGGTGCTCATGGCAGGCATCCGCCTCTACGTCTGTACAGTCTTGCAAAGTGATGAGCGAAGCTATGAAGAGCTTTTATTCCGATTCAAAAAGTCTTGCAGGATGGTCGCTACTTCGACGCGGCACCGACTTCGAGTACATCGCACGAAGCCCAACATGGAGAATCAGTGTTTGTAGCGTTGCAGCTTCCTTTTGTCATCAAGGTTGCTTCGAAGCCGGAGTGAGTGGTGATTCACGGGCGTTTGGCCTGTGGAGAGCGCTGCCTGGATTGTGCCCTCCAGAACTGGGGGCCTTCCCATGCCAGGCTTATGCCATAGCTTAGACAAGCCCTCGAATGTGAGGCAGCTTGACGAAAGCTGTGGGGACTGCAGTGCCTCTTTGTCATCCTGAAGATGGGATGCCATGTTTCGGCAGCGGTACAGGCACTGATGTGCCTTTTGGCGAATTAAATGCCCAGCCAAAGACCTGGAGGAAGACGTCTGCCTGGTCTCTTGCGTATCGCTATGCAGTGCACAGGGTGGAGCAACTGGTCTGACCAAGCAGTGGGTCTTCAGACACGAAACTTGACGATCTCGCCACTTTTGCGAAAACGATTGCTTTGGCCTGTCATCGATGAATGCAGGCACCGCAGAGGAGAAACTGCCTAGGCGGATGACTTTTTGTGTTTCTTCCGTCTTCCTGAGAAGGGAAGCCTGTGCAGCAAACGATCATCCCAGACCTGAGGGTGCGCACAGTCGCGGTTTGCTCTCCTGGATCTTGGCTTTTTTGGACCATTGCCAAGACAATGGCGGCAGCCAAGTAGACTGCAAGCTCGTCCATATGACATTTTCCACAGATCCAAGCTGCAGCTATGTCCGGTCTCCGTGTTTATGGGAAGCGTATCTGTATGGCGATCATTGCAGCAGCCCGGGGCGGCGAGAGATAAAGTTTCACCCGTTGGATATTTGTTGCTCCATATAGCTGCAATGAGTCAAAAGCCGTTCTCGAACTGCAAGCAGGCCGAGGGCGAAGCTGTGAGACGAGAGACGAACACAGCGCTGCATTCGCCTCGATCCGCAGGTTTTCAGCCAGGACTTTTTTCCTCGCTAGGCCCCCCACCCGCAGTCCGCTCGTTGTCGCGCGACTTCGAGGCAGGCGCATTGTAGCACTGTCGCAGCAGCTGTGTCTGGTAGATGTAGTTCTCGCCGAGCAATCACTTCCTTTCTTTGCAGAAGGCTGTGGGAGTTTCTATGGTTGCTTGAAAAGCGTACCGGTCCGAAAGTCTGCAGGAAGGTTGCAATTGAAGGGTGCGGGAGGGAGCCCTAGAAGGGAACCTGTTTTTTGGCCCCTCTTTTTCTTGTCCGCGGGGTGGGGGAAGGAAGGGAGGAAGGGAGGAAGG